CCTCGTCGTCTATCCTAGAAAGGCCAACGGACGAACGAGGAAAACACTTTGTTCTTCACGGCCGAGCTCTTCGGAAAATAACGGAAATTTGGAATTTGAATAGTGTGAATGCGCACTGAATGATGAATGTACTTCCGAATGCCTGTCAATTGAATTACTCGAAACCGGTTTGTAATTGCAACGTCGCAAGCAATCTAGGGGAACCAGATAAGGTGTTCGGTACCAGTCGTGACGCAATCAAGAGGCACTTTGTTTGTCCTGCACCTTATCTAAGTTGCAGAGATGCTAGATCACTGTAATGTGCAGAGAAGACCAGCCAAGAGCGCCTACCGTATTCAAAAGTGGTCCAGTGAACAGCCATGACGGAATAGTCGCCATGGAGCGCGATGTGCACCTGCTTCCGGTCGTGGAGCAGCAAACGCAGTTGTTACTACTCCAAGAAGAGCAACAATAAGACGCATCTTATAGAGGTTGACGGAAATTTAGTTGAGAAGCGACGAATCAATCGGAGACGATTGCGCGTTCTGCCGACGCCACGCTAAGGCGGATTACGCTATCAGAACCGGGACGCTGTTCGACAATTTGAGAATTCGAGAAATCTGACAACTTTGACTTTTGCAACCTCTGATATCAAATCAAAACGCTTTGTGCGTTTCTGCATGAGTCCACGTAGATGGAACAGTGGCATACAGGTCACGCCCTCCCGTTGAGGGAAAATTTTGTCATCACGCCTTCCCGCTGAGGAAAAATTCTGTTAAACACGACCCCTCTCTTCAGAGGTTCTGTCTCTCTCTGGCGCGAGTCCCCCATGCGATTCCCCCTCTCACCTACAGTTTTTCAGAATGTCCTCGTTCCTACCACTTACTCTGAGTCCATTTTTTTCCACTAGAAAGTACTGTTGAGCGGAGAGAGGGGGGGAGAGATAAGTCAACACCTGAAAATATTTTCCTCAGTACTCATGCGACACCACCCCCCTCCTCCTCCCCGCCCCCCACCTCACCCCGTTCCATAAGGCGACTGAATGGAACTCCTTCACTATGGATCGGCGTATGACGCTCGCAAGCAGTAGACGAGCCTCCTTCTGAGAATTAGCAAATCCAGGGCTCCAAAATAACGTCGACGTCCTCGTGTTATCGCCAGAGTAAATCTTTTTCAGTGTGATTTCTGAGCATGAATTTCGAGAGCCCAGTCCAGGGCCTTACTTGCTAATCTCTTTAAGCTGCTTAGTCCGAAGGAAAGCCGAACCTCTATGGGCTGAAGGATCTCTCGCACTTGATCTTGAACCCGTCGGGCTGAATGGGCTCCGTGGAGTATTCATTTGATAACTGGTTCCGTTCACAACGTATACATTTTGGTAATAATCATCTCTCTGTATGTAAACGGCAACAATAAGATCATTTACAGTTTTATAAAATTTTAATTCAGTTTCACTGAGGGCCACGATTGTAAAGAGTGGTAGAGCCTCTGTGTTCCATGCTCAAGTTTTCCACGAACTGTGCACGTTCCCGCCAGCGGCCGGAAAATATGAAGAATAGGAGACAGAGAGCCAAGCCTGCATTCATCGATGTCAGCACTCTTACGTAGCTTTTTCAAGAGTCGGTCAACAGGAATTGTCTCTAGTGCTTGTTTACTAAAACGTCAAGGCCGCAGAGCTACCAAACAACCTACAACTGCTCTCACTCACCCCTCGATTGCAGGTTCTCAAAGAAAACTAGGAAAAAAATTGAAAACTGAGGAAAGCGACTGGGAGCTGAGAAAGCTCGGAAAGGTGGTAGGTAGGATAGGTAAGGTGCCGCGTCAGAATAGGCAAGTTGGGGGCGGGTGGGTGTAGAGGTTGAACTGACGTCGCCGTTCCACATATTACGGTACTATACCCTGTTTATAATTACGCTTACGAGATATTCTGAAAGAAGTGGTCAATAGCTGGAGCACGAGAATCACTTTCCTGTTTTCTCTCCTTGAGCTTTGCGAGCACCAATGCCCATTCATTTTTAGGTCTATTGTGATTCTTTTCCATGGACACTAGAGACTAGATAATGTCTGGAGAGTGCGAGTTCAAGTGGAGAGGTTCGCTCGTTGGCATTGTGTGCTCCTGGCAACCAGCGGGCATTTCGTCTTTCCAGCCCTCTATACGACTTCAATGAAATCCGCCGGCCATTCTCAAGTGTATATTTTGCTATTTTTTATCGTTCCCATCAGAAAAGGTTAGTGCTCTTTTCGAGGTAGGCGCGCTAGAAAGTAGCCAACTAGGGGGTTGGATATCTCAGGCCAGATTTGATGTCCAGGCCATGTTGCCTTGTGTCCTTTTCCTTATACGGAGGTAAAGCTGCAAAAAGATCTGTTTATAAGTTAACATTCAAAAGGAAAAAGGACTAAAGAAATCCTGATTGGAACTTGTTACTTTCAGCACTGCCTCTATGCTCGGTAGGACAATTTTCCTGCCGAAATAGCCCGAAATGTATCCCTACGTCGTGGCTTTGTGACGGTGCCCGTGATTGTCCAGACGGTAGCGACGAAACTCACAGCAACTGCCATTCACATCGGTGTAAGTCCTTTCAGAATTACTGCAGAAACTACCAAAATCCCTATGATTAGAGCGAAATTTGCCCCTGTTCCAGCTAATACAACCTGTTCGGGAGATCAACCGGAATGTCGCCATGGAGGCTTCCAACGTTGCATCCCTCAGAACTGGCTATGTGATGGACATATGGTGAGATGGTACAAAGACATTTGGAACCTCGCATCCTTAAAGGGCCATAACTTTTGAAGCAGTGGACCGATTGAGGAATTCAGTAGGCAATGAAAATTCATCTTGTATCATCAACTAGTGTACTGAAGCATCAAAATAAATATAATTGTTCCTTTTCTTTTTCTTTCTTTGCTACTTGATTTTCTATTTTTATATTTATGTTTAATTTATTTATGTTATGCAGATATTAGCGTTATGCTATGAGATTACGGCTATTTTGAGTTTAACATATTTCTACTTGGTACTGGTATGGCCAAATTTTTGGTGGTTCGCGATAACAAGGAGAGTGGTTCAGGAGCTGTGCACCGAATTGGTGAGGAACGAGATGAACTGTATGGAAGTAAACGAACGTCGTCCGCGATGATTTAGGATACAGGTGGGTCTTCTGAAAAAACGTTGCCGTGCGACATATCAAGCCGGATCTTCTCGTTTACTGTTGCGAAATAATCGTTAGTAGGAGGCCGTTTAGTTCGTAGTAGCGTCGCGTTTGGAGAAAATGAATTGCGCTGGTTCATCGTGAGCGGAGATTAGCATTACTGGTATCCGCATATTGGTTCGCCTTCCCGTGACAGGAGTGGATGAGGTAGCTAAATCGGGGAGGGGGTTTGCAAAGGTAAGCCATGCTCCACGGCTCATGAACGTTCGGAGGCGTCGGCTGGCGTGGTAGGTGCAGTGGATTCAGCCCTTCCGCACCCTCTTGTCAGAAAAAAGTTACTCGGTTATTCGGAGCCAGCTCCTATGCGTAGTTGTGAACGAATATCCAAATGCGCTGAGAGTTTAGGTGGCGTTGGCTAGGGTCATTGATTTCCAACCGTTCTGGCAACTGCGGCATTCGTTGGGTATCTTATTTAAATACACGGTTACAGCATCGTTGTGTCAAAACCCACGTGGGGGGGATCGTACTTTTTGTTCGGGTAACATATTTGAAAAGCAAATTTATTTGATTGGTGATTTTTTGCTTGTGAAAGGGCGGAGTGGGTGTCTTAATTTTTGTTTTATAATGCATTCTGTACGCCGTGGGAATTTAGTTGCGATAGTTTGATTGCTATAGCCCCCCCTCGAAAACTTTTTGCCGACTATATAGCTCATCGCCTCGTCCGTCGGCGTAGACCGGTGAGCGGAAGGTGGGGGGGCGGTCGTGTCTAAATCCATTCGAAGGGGGGGGGTCGTATTCACACATGGCCACAGATATTCGGCGACATCCGCATGCTGCATCCCTGTTAATGACATTTGTATGTCAATTAAGCTGGAAAATATTGCCTCATTTGACGGTCAATGAATCCCGCAATAACCACCAATATCTCGGTAGTGTTCGGAGTGCCCACAGATGTCCACCGCGCCTTAACAGCTTGGGCTGTAGTAGCATTCAAGCCCATTTCTTCCACTCCCTATTTCCTTGTCATTCTTGAATTTTGTGCAAATTCAGTATGTAACTGATGCTGTAGCTGAAAGGGTGTTGATGAAAGACTTCTACGCTTCGTGCTCTGCACCTATTGTTCCGGAATATCTCCCAATAGTTCATTCTCGTGCCTTCCCAAAGTACAACACTCATGAGGAATCCCTTGTAGTTTCAGCTGTGGAACTTATGCCTTGGTTCCTCGAACGATGTGTATGGTGTTTCGAAAGATTGCACGGATGTTTCGGGATTGAAGAGGCCGGTACGATGCATTCAGTGTGAACGGATCGCGGTTGGACTATCTATCACCGCAGATTGCCTGGTACTTTGTGTGGTGCACCTATCCTGGCTTCTAGCCTTTGTTAGTTTAGCCGTTTTTTGGTTTCAGAGCGGTCAAGGAGGTCCACGTTGCGGCGGATGCGGCCAAATGGCCCCTATTAACACGCGCATGCTGGCAACGTGGAAGGTCATGAACCAATCTTATATATCTGTCTTGGGAGCTTTGAAAGTATACAGTACATTTTCGAAATAGTAGGTGCGTTAAGAATTGACCTTCAAATTCTACAGTATACTCCTCCCATGAAATTACTGGTTCTTCGCAAAAGTGCTTTAAATCATGTAGAATACTTATCGGGTAATATGTGATAATAAGGTTGCCTATGGCTTGCACTTCTATTCAAGTACAATCAGTACGATATACACTCCAAGAGAGATTTCGCGATCCGATGAACCACTGCTACCGTAACCCAAGCCGGTGTAAGAACTCTGTCGACTATAAGGAAACTTGGAGTAAACCAAGCCGAGGTCGGGAATACGGTACAGCGACTACATGAACTGTAAGATCTTCCTTGCCCCGATCCATAGAGAAAGGAACAAGGTTAGAGCTACGAGTGATGTGCGAATGGTTGACTCTCTTCAGCGCTATAGGGTTGGTAGCGCGGAGGTGTTGTGTTCAAAAGCGCAAGCGCATATTCGTTCCTATCAAATGAGAGTCTGGGTTTTCAAGGTAGAACCTCAGCGTTCATGGAAGAAATACAAGAGACAAAAGCGTTTCTCATGGAAAATACAACCAAACAGTTTGTCGTGACGGACAAGGTGGCGACCTAAACCGTCACTATGGCGAAGATTGAGAGGCACAACGGACTGCTACTACCACTAGGGCTACTTCTACTTCGACGGCTACTTCTACTACGACGGCTACTTCTACTACGACGGCTACTCCTAAGTTAACGACAACTGCTAGAACAACGACTAGGCCGACAACTTCGGAAAGTGAATCCGGAGCAACAACTCGTTTGACAACCTCTTTTACATGGCTCTTGAGTCGACTAGAGGCTACTGCGGCTCCGAGGAATATCATGGAATCTATAGAGACTCGTCACCCTTCGCCGACTACTGTAACTATCCCTTCTCCGCTGACTACTACACCTAAACAAACCCACAACCACTCAACAGCCGCTACTCCGTCCACTACTGTAGCTCACCAATCCAGTACGAGCTCATATCTAAAGTTTCTGAATTACAGATTACTGGAGCCAGGTGAACAGCCGCACAGCCTTGAAGGAGGTTTCAGGCGAAGTGTTCTGGAACTTTCCGAAACCAGCCGAGAAGCCCGCCACGCCGGTGATGGCGAAAATTTCCACCCTCTCACTACTACCACCGCCCCACCACCACCACCACTACAACGAAGTCGGAGACTGTCCTTTCCAGTATCTTCAAATTTCTGCGTAAAAGGGAAGCCAATACGACTATGGAGGAGCAAGAGAGCGAAAGCCCGAGCAAGAAAGAAGACCATCAGCAACAAATTGTACCAGTACAACCGCCTGTGCCGGTACAACCTTGATCCTGAACAGAACCGAGGTGCAACCAGTGAAGTCAATCAAAGGAGTGCCGATAAAACCTATGAATCTTTAGATCAGATAACAATCGCTTCATTTTGGTGTATTTGTATTGTAAACTTGCTTGAAAATGTCATAAAATTCTATTTTGTCCATAATGCATTGCGATTTAATGAATTTGGTATTAATGGGACAGGAAAATCCGTCAAAATAATTCGTGCTTCGCGGTTTTCGGGTATGTGGCGATTCTAGAGTGGGTTGCCCCGAGGTGGGCGTGGCCTGCTACTCCGCAGCCTTTGCTTACGAGCTTTGTTGCCCATGGCCCGTTCAAATTATTGAGGGGACCATAACCGTCACGCGGTAAGCTCAGCTGTTGTCTTATCAGCCTGCGCCATCTTTCTTCTATTGCGGTCATCTGCACTCTAAGCCTGAGAAGTAGGGAAGTAGCCTTTTTGCCAGGTTGCATTAGTTTTCCCCCTTTCCTTATCTCCGCTCTGGTGAAGCGGTCAAGGAGTTACACGCGAAAAATTGAAGGTGACCCTCAACCTTTCCCCAGCAAACGGGCAGCTTCTAGAACTTACTCGAAGAACTTTCCAGCACACATTCATAAGCACGGGAATTTGATACATCTTGTTGCAAGGGAGTTGCACTTGATATGAAGCGGTAGAGCTGCGAACCGTGGAAAGCTACGGCGACTTCGGGCTAGGGAGACAGGAACTATCGCAACTTGTCGCTTCGCCGCGCGCGAAGTAACATGCGACAATGCGCGGCAAGTTCTCGATACGTATTAGTTTTTTGATTGAAGCAGCGAGACCCGTACGAATTCAAGAGGAGATAAGGCCTCACGGCGAGGAATATGAGTCTTCCTGTCCCTTCAAATTAATGGTCCGCGATGACCTATGAAAATGCAAGAGGTTATGTGGGAAGGTAGTGCGGTCCGGAGTGGACAACCCTGTGCCAGTTTCGCGGCGGAAAGTTGTACGGTAAAGGAATTAAGTTGCTTCAGTGGTACATCCCTTTTTCCAGTGACTCCGCCTCCAGACTCCGCCTCCAAAGTCGGCCTTCCAGCCAAAAGTAATGCTCCCGGGCAAGTATCATGGAGTGGATGCATTCAATGTCTCTTGTAGAGTCATAGGGTTCATTACTGGGAATCAGCCGACGGGAATTGTCCCAGCGCGCGGTCTTTTCGGTCTTTTACCTCTACAGTTGTTTGAGGCTAGAGGAGGCCTGACGAATGCGTTTCCAACGTTCCCTTTTCCTTTGGCATTTTCTCTTCATAGACGGTTCACTTGGCGAATTTTCTTCCACATTTCTGCAACATCACCTAGGCTTTTTATCGCGGACCGTGCCTTCAACACTTGTTTTCAAACGACCCGTCTGTCGGGGTCTACGGACAACTTGAACTCAATTCTTGTAACGCGTCGAGTTTTTATTTTTCTCTGCACTATCTCGCCCGCATGGCATTCTGTAGTTTTTGTGACTTCGAACATTCCAGCTCTTCACGTATGATAAGTGGCTCACCCACCATTTAGTCCCCTCCCCTGAACAAGCTCGTCCCCCTGGCTCGCCATATTATCTTGCACGTCTTGATGGACGCTTTGGCGAGCGCTGTAGTCTATCTGTCCGCGTCTTGGTTTCGCAACAGGACCACCATGCAAGTTCAAGATGTCACGTAGCCTTCTGTCGGGGTCACATTGTCGTTGTTCTGTCACACATACACGTGGGTGAAGGGGAGAGGGGGAGGGGAATGGGGAGCATTTAAGGACGGCATTATGCAATGCCGAGGACGCCGTATTAGAGATGATAATTTCCGCACAGGCCCAGGGGACAGGGTACGCCATTGTTGTGATAATCACAACGGGGGGCTCGTATTCGAACGTGAGGGAGGGGGGTTCGTATATGGTCGTTGTTGGGAGAGGGACTGCCAAATTCTATACAAGGACTATAGTTAAATGACAGTTAAGTCCTGACGGCTTCCCCCCCCCCCTCCCCCGCTCGACAGCAAAATTTCAGTTTTCAGAAATTTTTCGGGAAATTTCGGAAAACTAGTAGGGGATTTGAGAATTTCCTTTTTCGCATTGGGTATATAGCCCCCACCCCGACGGAAAATTTTTGGCTGAAAAACTGGGAATTTTCCGGGAAAAATGGTAGAAAGTTGGGAAAATCTAGGAAAGTGGTAGGTAGCATGGGAGAGGGGGTCGTATTTGAGGATGGAATTAGGGGGGGTCGTATTTTTTCAGGAAATGATCACAATGCGATGACGTGCCCTCCCAGGCAAAGGAGCCCCAGGTACGCTCAACCACTTTCACTGAAAATGAGAGGTTTCGGCCTTCAGTGATCCCATCTTTGCACAAAACACCGTTAAATGTCTCTGCTCCTTAGCCAACCAGTGATAGAGGCAGATATGACTGATCAGTAACAAAAACAACCGATACGAGTGCGCCCTGAGAGATATCAGTTATCTATCCTCCTATTTCCTTCGAGGTGCCCCATTTTTTTAATCATTCTCACTGGACTGGTCTATTAACTACTAACAATGACCAACGAAAGGCCGCCCTGTAAGTTTCTCTGAAAATGTTATTTCTAGGATTAGTGTTTTCGAGTTTAAGAGTTTCGAACAGTTTAGCAAGCGACATTTCGGAGGTTCCCGAGCAGTCAACTAACCAAGTATTGGTGGATCGCCGACCGGAGGTGGCCCCGGATAATGACCGGACAGTTTTGAGTAAAATGTCCCTTTACAACTTGGATAGAGCTGGAGAAGAACTTCTTGCAAAACCGTCGGATGCGACTCAGAAAGAAACAGTCACCTCACAGTTTAGTGAGCAGCTCACAGGACTGGAAGAGAAGGACGTCTCCACCGGGATACCTGCCCTTTCGGATAAAGAGTCGGGCAGCGGGATTCGCGCTAGGACTCCTTGCCCACATCATTCAGTCAGGCATCCAACCAACACAAGTGATTTCTTGGTTACAAGGCCAAAAAGGAGTGGACTTATGGGCAAGAAAGACAGGTCAAAATCCAGCCGAGGGATCACTATAACTCCCCAAAAGTCAGACAAAGACGGAGATGAGAGAAGTGTCTACACGGCTGTTAGCCTTGCAGGGAAAACTACAACATCTAATTCTTCTGATGAGAAAGAACTGCTGATGCCAGAGATTCATCCAGTCTATGATGAGAAACAACAGCAAGCCCAAGGCGTAACGATCAGTCCAAGGGACGCCGCTGGGACCCAGGCGGCAAAACCAGAAGATAAAGTTTTGACCGCCACGGGTCGTCGTCAACGAGTCTGTGAGGAAATCACGAGCAATCCCAATCAAGAAGAGGAGAAGAAGAAAAAACCGCCAGCGGAAATTCTGGCGGTAAGCAGTCACTGGGAATCGGTGAAGTCAGGTGAATCAGCGCAGTCAGTGAAAACAGCTGAGGATGTAACTAAACTGGAGCCCGATGTCTGCCAATGCGCTACTCATGAGGAAAATGCCGGTCAAGGAATCGCACCATTCCTACCACAAACCCCGGAGAAAAAGTTTGCTTCGAGCTGGCTAATAAGCGCGAACAGCCCGCCCAAGGAATCATGGTAACGCCTCAAAAGACAGATTCTGAGTTCTGCAAATGCGGAAGTCATGAGGAGAATGCGGGTCAAGGAATGGCAACAACCCCGGATAAAAGAGTTAGCCTGGAGCAGGCCAGTAAGCAGGAACAGCCTGTCCAAGGAATGCTATTGACGCCCAAAAACACCGAGTCTGAGTTCCGCAAGTGCGCTAGTCATGAGAAGAATGCTGGTCAAGGAATGGCAGCAACCCACAAGATGCCCTGGAAAAGGTACAAGGCCTCGAGCAGACCAATAAGGGCAGAACAGCCAGCCCAAGGACTTATACTGACGCCTAAAAAGACCGAGTCTGAGTTCTGCAAATGCGGTAGCCATGACGAAAATGCGGGTCAAGCAATGGTAGCAACCCCTCAAGATACTCTGGAAAAGGTACAAGGCTCGAGCAGACCAATAAACCCGAACAGCTCGGCCTAGGAATCATGTTGACGCCCAACAAGACCGATCCTGCTGCCCTGATCAGTGATAGCAGGAAACGCATAGATGAAGAGATTACCAGGAAACTCCAGGACACTCCTGAGAAGAAGTCGGAGCCAGCAGTTTCCGGAAGTAGCCGTGAACAGGAGCGATCAAAGCAATTACCAATATCCGTAACACCTCCGGTTCGAAATACCCCTGACATCCAGCTGGAAGCCAAAGAAGGGGAAAGAACACCGGAGATGCTTCACGCTTTTGAGGACAAGTTGATCTCACCGGCAAGAGGTCCTTTGGAGGCTCAGAAAGAGAGCCCGGCGCCGCAGCCCGTCACTCCCCATCAGGAATTCAAGGAGCCACAGCCCACTGTGGCGAGCGCAGTGGGCCCTACTGAAGAAAAGTTCCAACAGGGAGTACTCGGAACTATAAGCCAGAGTGAGAATTCTGCAGAAAAACCTCAACAAGGAGTACTCGGAATTGTTAGCCAGGGTGAAAACTCGGCAATGTCCGCGAGAGCGAACCCTGAAAGGTCCCTCGAGGAGAAGATTGGGTTAGAGACACCTACACTGAGCAGTAGCCTGGCGCAGCTTGTAAAGCAAATTACCAGAACTCCGCCACCAAAAGCAGAGGAAAAGGTAGTGGAGCCCAAAGACGTATCACTTGGCAGCACAGAGAAGCAACCGGCTGGTGAGATCGCCACGCCTAAATCAGTGCCGGCTCAAGAGACTCCATCTGGCAGTCACTCGCAGGCGCAGTCGGATCAGGTGTCGAGCAGAACTTCGAAGATGGAAAAGAATAAAGCGCAATCAGAGGTTTCCATGGGCAGGAGCCATCAGGATCAACAGCTAGGAGGGACACAAACTCCACCAGAGAAGCAGAGCCATCAACCTTTCTTGATCAGCGACAGGCAGGATCATCAGCAGGATTCTGATCTTGTGGCCACTAACAGCCATCGAGAAAAGTGGTTCAAAGGCATTGATAAATCTGAGAAGAAAGGGCTGGAGCAGGGGGTTGCGCACGATGACCAGGAAGTCACCACAGCAAAGGCAAAGACTCCAGAACCGAAACCTGCAGAATTTTCACTGGCCAGCATGTTTCCATCTCTGTTTGGCCGGAGCGCATCTACTGACGAAAACACTTCTGGCTCCGATGCCACAGCGTCCAGGCCTCCAGCACCAGTCCAAAGAACGTCTTCGTTCAGTTATCCCGAGCCACCGACGAGACCAAAAGATCCGAGACGTGATGTCGTACGATTCCGATCAGACTATGCCAATAGGTACGCACTTGGCAGCAGGCACACGGTGGATTTCTTCAGCGGTTCATACGACGATGTGAGTCATTCAGTAACCATCCCCTCCGGTCTGATCGACTAAGCTAAGCTTGTTCAGGTTCAACGTGAAGCAAGAAATTCAGTGAGACTGATTGTCGTTTTCATCCACGATCCTTCTATGGAGGTGAGTCTATACTGCGGAGCTTATAAACTACAACTTTATCCCGCTGCTTCGCACGAATATTATTTTTGCGCGCATAGAATCGATAAGTGCATGCGCTCCCAAGGACTGGCAGCAACTGCCGTCTGTACAATCTCAACTGAGAAAAGCCTTTAGCTCTCCTACGGAGGGGACTTGGTATCTCTTGCTGTTACCTTGGCACCAGTGTGAACGCGAAGCAGAGGATAAAAGTTCGTTGAGTCTTGCTCGCTGCAAATGAGGGGGCGTGTCAGGCGGATGGGTTTGGCGCGGGGCGAAACTCGTTTTCTTAACAATTTTTGAAGCGAGTGAGCGACAAGACCGTGTCATATCGAGCATACCAGTCGCTTTCCACCGATTGTTGTCATCACCCGCTTCTACAACCGGCGGAATGGGTTTGGCGGGAGCCACCGGCATTCCGCCTGACACGCCCCTTCTTCCGCATCAAAGGTTGTAACTGTACTCTTCTCGATTGTGAGTGCATGGGTACTAGCGCATGAGGCCTAAGGCGCTATTAGATGGCTCCGCATGCAAAGGATGCCTCTTTCATAGGTAATAGGTGGTTCTTCCAGACAGGGCAGGGGAAGTCGTGCAAATCACTCAGCTAGTGTATTTCCCTTGTTCGTTATGAGAGAGCTGACTGGGACGCGGGAGCTCCACTGCTCCAGTGGCAACGTCAGAAGCTCTAAACAAGCCGTAAACTACGAAATAGTAGCGATTTAGTAATCACGACAAGTTATCTGATTTGATATGCCACGTGAATTACTAATGGTGATGTGATGACACTGAACCAACCCCTTCAGTGCTTCATCACATTTATGGGCCGGTGGACGTGATGTTGTCATACCAGTGCTCATGAATTTAAGACTGAGAAGATGGAGTTCGAGTTTTTAGGAATCGAGGAGGTTCATTAATGAAACGTTGAATTCGTTGGAATTTGGAGCACTGGTCAACAACCACAATCTACTGGTATGGGGAGTTGGGAACGATACGGATGAAGGAAAATATGGTGAGATACGAAATTCTCTTATATTTGCCAAAAAATGGTCAGTCGCAAAGTTGGCTAGTTGACTCAAGATTATCCACCACTCCAGTAGCGACAATGGAATAATAGGGCGAAAAGCGAGCGCCAAACCGGAAACTGTGCTGCCAGATTTCAGGGTTTCCAGTCCAAAACTCTTTCCAGAGGGCCGGCTCCCGCCCAGGTCAACCACGTAACACCAGCATCGATCCTCGCCCAGGCCAACCATGCCTTACATACTCGGGGAACGGTAAATTGTTACCAGATTCGTCTGAAAGAAAAGGAACCTGACTTGTTCATGGGCTGGCCCTCGCAACTCACTGTATCGGCCACATCGCATTCACTAACCACTGTGATTCGGAGAAGACTTAATCTTTTTATCATTTGTGTCTTTGTATGTATATCAATAGCGGGACAGTTTTATTGAAAGCCGATCCGCGCTGACACCATGGGCGGAGACACCACTCTATTGACAGGCTCTCTTCTTGGCCACCGCAGCGAGTTGATTCGCAGTAATGGGCCTTACTCCGCCCACACGATTAGCCGCATATGCTATATTCTCC